CAGGGGTTTGGTATTATCAAGAAAGGGGGGGTTCAGGGAGTCTGGTGTTACATAGGATTGGAGGGGCACAGTGGGTCTGGTGTTTATCTAGAGATGTGAGGGTACAGGGGGTCTGGTGTTATCCAGAAATGTGAGGGCAAAGGAGGTTCTGGTGTTATCTAGAGATGTGAGGGTCCAGGGGGTCTGGTGTTTTCTAGAAATGAGGGTACAGGTGGTCTGGTGTTATCTAGGAGAGGGTTGTAAAAGGTGCCTGCAGAAGTTGGGGGGCACAGGGAGTTTTTAGGTATCGGGAAGTAAGGGGTACAGCCAGGGGATCTGTTGTTATCGAGAAGTGGGAGTGACATGGGATCTTCTGTTATCAAAGAATGGAGATGGCGGACACAGGGAGTCTGGTGTTATCTGGGATTGAAGATACTGTAATCTTATATTATTTGGGGAGGCAGTTGGGGGGGGGTCATTATTTGTTATGGTGGGTACAGGAGGGCTTTTTTATCTTGGAAGGGGGTGACACAGGGAGTCTGGTGTTATCTGGGATTGAAGATACTGTAATCTTATATTATTTGGGGAGGCAGTTGGGGGGGGGTCATTATTTGTTATGGTGGGTACAGGAGGTCTTTTATATCTAGGAAGGTGAAGGGGGGGATAGGGGATCTGGTGTTGTTTGTGAAGGGGGGTACGGGTGTCCAGTATTATTTGGTAGGTGAGGAGTCTATACATGCATGTCTATTATTTTCCATATGACATCTTGCTTTATATACCTGTATGATGACCCAGCACACCCTGTATACTTGCACACACCTGCAGCGGGTGACAGGCAGGTAATTACACCCCTCCCATATGTCATTCATTAATACCTATTAGCATTAGAGAAATTGCTATTTATATTGACATGTATGACATCAGCTTGGCGTATAATGGCAGCGTGTGTGTGTTATGGCTGGCATGCAGAGGGCACGTAGTGGAGCCGCACACACCTCTAGTACACAGCCGGATTGATTTCACGGTATAACGTGTCACTCTGTGGTTATGGATTATTAAAGTGTTGTGTCAGTTGGCTGGCGGGTAGAAGTTTTCTTTGTATTGGAGAAGTTCTTGAATGGTAGGGTGGTGTGTTAGAGGGTCACTTCACCCTAAACCAATATTTCCAATATGGTCGGGTGCAGGTGGTCTAAACGGCCCACCAATTTCCTATATTCCCTAAGCTGGCCATAGACAGGGCCTCAGTTTGCAGTTCCTTAACTAATACAATGACAACCATGAGCAATGCCCGGGAGAAAATTGTTCAACGAATAGTGGCCTGGTGAATTTTCTTGAAATGTGTTACCATATTATAATTGTTTGCAGAGATTGAATCTTCATTGTGTCACTGTTGTATCTTATAATGGTTGACTTCGGGGAGGAGGTGCGGCATGTGGAGCGTGGATGCGAGCGGGTCTGGCAGCGGCGAGCGTGAGGTGGGGAGGAGGTGCGGCGCACAGCGTGTGGAGCCGTGAACAAGTTGACAACTTTTTCAATAATCGATTATAATCGATTATGTCGATTAGTTGTTGCAGCCCTACTCTATTGTCCCGTCTACAGTCTACCCAATCTACGGGTTGACCGTCCGAGTCCTGTATTGCTTTGTATCTTATAAAGGTTGAATCTTCATTGTGTCACTGTTGTATCTTTTTAATGGTTGAATCTATCTAGCATCCTAAAAATTGTCCCGTCTATAGTCCACCCCATCTACGGGGTGACCGCCATATTGCTATTGTATCTAAGAAAGGTTGAATCTCCATTGTATTACAGAAAAACATTGTCCCATCTATAGTCTCCAGAAACTATTGGATCACCATCCTCTTCTCATTGTATCGCCATTGTATCTTATAATGGTTGATTCTATCTATCATCCTAAAAATTGTCCCGTCTATAGTCCATCCAATCTACGAGGTGACCTTATTGCTGTTGTATCTAATAAAGGTTGAGTCTTCATTGTATTAGAGAAAAACATTGTCCCATCTATAGTCTCCAGAAACTATTGGATCATCATCCTCTTCTCATTGTATCGCCATTGTATCTTATAATGCTTGAATCTTTGTCATATGAGTCATCTATAGTCTCCCCAGTCTATAAGTTTACCCTCCCAATTTATCAGATCCCTGTTGTATCATATGGAGTTTGAATCTTCACCGTATCGGGCAAGGAATTGGCCAGTCTATAGTCTACCATTCTCAATGCATTACAACTGTATCATATAAAGGTTGCATCTTTGCCATATTAGGCAAGAAGTTGTCCAGTCTATAGTCTTCCATTTTCATTGCACCACCATTGTATTCTATAAACATTAACTCCTCGCCATATTGGCCAAGAGATTGTCCAGTCTATAGTCTTCCATTATCACCATATCACAACCGTATCATATAAAGATTGCATCTTTGGCATATTAGGCAAGAAACTGTCCAGTTTATAGACTTCTGTTTTTATCACGTCACAATTGGTATCTTTTGAAGGTTGACTCTTCGCCATGTTGGTCAGGAAATTGTCCAGTCTATAGTCTTCCATTCTTATCATATCACCACTGAAGCATATAAAGGTTGCACCTTCACCATATTGGACAACAAATTGTCCCATCTATAGTCTTCCATTCTTTTCGTATCCTATAAAAGTTGGCTCTTCGCCATATTGGTCAAGAAATTGTCCACTCTGTTGTCTTCTAACCTCTGGGATCACCGTTCCATCCCCTCTGTCATACCATTGTATCAAATCAATGTTAAATTCTTCATCATATGAAGAAAACTTAGTCCTTGCTTTAGTCTCTAGGATACCAATCTATTCTCATATCTTATAAAGGTTAAATATTTATTGTATCGAGCAAAGAAATGGTCCATCTGTAGTCTGGTCACCTCTCATATAAAGGCTGAATCTTTATAATAGTTCAATCTTTATTGTATCAGGCAAAAAAATGGTCCCATCCAGTCTCCCCAATCTATGGGATCATCCCATTCTCATTGTATGTTCATAGTATGGGCCAAAGGTTAAATCTTTATTGTATTGGGCAAAGAAATTGTCCATCTATAGTGTGGTCACCTCGAGGATCACCGTCTCATTCTCATTGAATGACCATTGTATGTTATAATGGTTGAATCTTCATTGTATGGGCCAAAGGTTGAATCTTTATTGTATAAAGAAATTGTCCATCTATAGTGTGGTCACCTCGAGGATCACTGTCCCATGCTCATCGTATCACCATTGTATGTTATAATGGTAAAATCCTCATCATATGGGCCAAAGGTTGAATCTTTATTGTATAAAGGAATTGTCCATCTATAGTGTGGTCACCTCTAGGAGCACCGTCCCATGCTCATCGTATCACCATTGTATCATATAATGGTAAAATCTTTGTTGAGTTGGGAAGAAGTTGTCCCGCACATAGTCTCTGGGACTGTTGTCTCGTTCCCATTGCATTTTCATTGTATCCTATAAAGGTTGAATCTTCGTCACATTGGGTGAAAAGTCCTCCAGCTCTTTATTAAGGCCACCACCACCACCGCCCAATGACCGAGGCTGACTAATAAGTCCTTGGTGGCACACGGGGGAGGGTATGGGCCGTGTATTTGTTGTTGATTGGAGGAGTAGTGCTCGGATGGCTGGTGTTATTGGTATTGTTGGTATGTGAAGTATTTGCAATGTTTTTGTTACAGAAGTCACTGATAACATTTCTGCCATTCTCCATCTCCTATTCACCACTCTGCCACAACCCTGTCAGGAGTTTCCTCGCTCCGTCCCAACACACTCGGCCCCTCCTCCACCCCACACCGTACCTGTGTTATTGTGCAATGTACTAAAATGAAAGGCTTTGTGAACCCTAACAATCAACTTTTCCTATTTGCTCCATATTGCTCTATTAAATGTACCATTGAAAGCGTTTTATTATGTCTGTTCAATAAGTGCAAAAAAAAAAACCATGTAGATCCTGCCAGAAATCTGATAACATCCTGTTCTTCTTGAGGGCCAGTGCACACCTAGGTGACTCCTCACCGCGCGGCAATCGTGCATGATTCCGCGCGGATTGCCGCGCGGTCAGGAGTCGCCAAGGTGTGAACCGATCGCGCTGTGGGTGCCATTATTTTCTAATGGCACCCCAGTTGCGCCGGGCGGATCGCGCGGCTTCCTGCCGAGATTCCTCCCATGCTTCTGAATGCGATTGCGGC